ATGGGATAAAATCATTGCATGCAAATATACTTGTGCAGCTTGATTTGATACACATGGTCGAATCATTCGAAAACAGTTTATATTTGTCTTTATAGTTTTTGTCATTTTCTTAATATGGGCATCAAATTTCAATTTTGAATCTAAAACTACACCCAGATACTTAAATTCACCAGCCGGCTTTATTTCATGTTGATTGATAATTATTTTGAGATCATTGTTTATAATTTTCTTAAGGGAGAAACACATGGAGACAGTCTTGGTGTAATTCAGAGTTAAGCAGTTGAAGTGCCCTGAATGAAAAAAAAAAAAATTATGATCACAGTCTTGATGTCTAAAACAGTGGCTCCGAGTCACTCAAAAGCAAAACCTATTAGCTCTGTTTGCTTCTGTCTTTGACTCAAGAAAACAAAAACAGAAATAATAACTTTCTGCTTGCTACATTTTAAATCTAGCTATAATGTCTGCAGTTGTAAAAGTTTTGTCAACTGCTGTTCTACAGAAATCTAACTGATGATTTTACATTATATTGTCCTCTAACGCAGTGAAAGAATGTCACAAAATTCATATATGCCCTGTACTCATTTTAGTAATATTATCTGTAAAACTTGGTTTCATTCTGGAATTGAAATTCTGAAATATTTCAGAACATACATGGGTTTCTTGTGTTTTCTTTTATTTGATTCATTTCAACCTTTTATCTCAATTTCTACTGGAAAAAAAAAATCAAACTCTGGGTAAGACATTTTAATTCTTAAAATAAGTGTGTTTGTTCTTGTACTGAGGAGGTAAAAAAGACATTTTGACAATGGAACAAGACAATTTAAACTTAAAATAGGAAAACACAATTGCATTATCTTATTTCAAGTACATTATATCAAATTATCTTTTTTTAAGAGTAAAAATACTCATTCCATTGGCAAACTATCTCCTTTACCTTAGACTTAGACTTAGACTCCCTCCGGAAATTAAGGACGTAATTAACCTACCTACTGTAGATTAATGGTAAATACACTTAATTTAAGAACTTTTTACTTATTTCTAGATCGTTTTTCCAGTAAAATATTTTGTTCTGGAACTGTTCAAATTCAGACACATCTAAAATTTTTAATAGATTTTAAGATTGTTTTAAAGAACTTGATAGGAACATGAATCTATTGAAGCTACAGCTGTGACCAAAAAATGTGGCATCTTCCAAAGGGATTTTTTTCATGCGCTTATCGCTATTATATGTGCCTTAGTTTAACTTAAAGTTATCATAGTTGCCAAAGAATATTTTTCCAGAAACAATCATTTTGAAGGCTGACCTGAACCATTTGTAGAAATAAGCATAAATAAACGGATTTAGAGTTGAATTGATCAGTGCAAACCAACTAGATGATTCTATCACTGAAACCATTACAAAGCTGTTGGTAAAAGGTGCAAATGTGAAAGAAAGGAAAAAAGGAGCCCAGCAAAACAGAAAAGCCCCCAAGACAATTGCCAGAGTTTTGGTGGCTTTTCTCTCCATCTTGCTGAAAGTTGGTCCAGAGTTTGTCCTGGTTTGGATGCTCCGGGCCTGTCTCTGTGCAACAACAAATATCTTCAGGTAGATGCAAAGCAGTATGACCACTGGAAGGTAAAATGATATCAAAGGCCCAACAATATTTGTCATAACATCAATAGAGCACATGTCCTGACATTCTTCAATGTTTAATCTAGAAATTATTACACCAATCGCAGTAAGAACTGAAACCCCCCAGCTTATGGCAATCATGATGTTCACAACATGAAGGCTGAATTTAGATTTGTATGTTAGAGGCTGACACACTGCATAATACCTATCAACTGAAATACAACACATGTGCAAAATTGAACATGTGCAGAACAATATATTAAAGCCATCTCTTATCTTACAAAACATGTTATCTTCATAGAAACATGAACTAAGAGAAAATGACAAACTTATAGGAAATACTAGAGCACCAACCAGCAGGTCAGCTACAGCCAGAGACTGAATCAGAGTGTTGGTGGGAGTGTGGAGTTGTTTGAAATAAGAAATAGATATTATTACAAGGAGGTTTCCACATACTGTAACAAGAGACAAAAGTGTCAGGAAAGCATACAATATTACACACACAGCAGAAGGAGTTGTTAGTTTGTAACTAAGCAGATTCATCTGAAAGCAGGGATGAAGAAACTCAATCCCAACAACAGTTCTGTTTTTCATTGGGACCACAAAACTGAATCTAAGCTCTATTATAATAAATACATCACTCATATAATGCATCAATGCAACTTGCTCACAGACATGTGAGTCTCTGTGGAACTAGTCAATGTGTCAGTGCTGGTTGCTCTGACGTAAAGTGGTCTCTGGGCACAAACCTTTAGGGCTCACTGATCAACCTCTTTGGGATTGCTAAAGAGTTATACAATTAGAATGTGAAAACTGCATCATGTTTGTGGGTCTATGTATAAAGGTCATTTTGAATAATAATTATTTGTAATTGGAACATGTATATTGTAAATTTGATGTTCTAGAGAGAAATAAAATAGATGATTGGCAGTTGTTATTTTTTTTCCCCATTTTTGACGACTAAAGGGGAACGCCCAAAAGGGGGGCAAAAGGAAACCGTACAATATACAAAAAAAGTTAACACAAACACACATGTTAGCACAAAGTTAGTGAGCAAAAGTGCACAAACTGTCCTGAGTCTGAATCAAAAACCTAATACATTATTAGTTTTTCTTGAAATTATCCAAAAGATTTTGTGCATTGTTACCAGTGTTGGGAAAGTTCTCTTTCT